GTAATGCCTACTGCCTCACAGGCTGCTGGAGGGCTGAAGCCAAGGGAATGACACTGCATGGGAAGCATGAACGATGCCTAGAACACAATATGCCCTCAAAAACTGGGAGCAATTATCACGGTTCCCTCTCTGTTTTAAAGCATCCCTTAATCAGTGATGAATGTATCAGTAGTTCCCTCAAAAAAAATTATCTTAAAAATAATCCAGTGAGGTATTTTCTTGAATGTAATGACTATTAGGTCGCTTCCAATTAGCAGTAAGTTTCAGTAGCATAAGAGCCAATTTTGTGATTATACAATGAAAATACTGGCTCAATTTTTAGATCACAAATACCTTAATGAGAAGTTAAAACCAAATAAAAACCTAGACTGCTGCAGGAAAAGGGTTTTACAATTAGTTTGACTTCAAATTTCAACCACAGGAATATGTGGTATATACTCTCCTAATTCAGTATTTGTTATAAGATATAATTTTTCTTTGCTGCGTTAGAATTCTGCATCATATCTAAATCCTTAAGTTGAACATGATACATCAGGGAAGTAATCTATCTTCTAAAATCTATTATCAATTGGTATATTATTTTCTCCTTATAGGTGTTACAAAAAATTTTTAGTTAACTAAAGCTTCCAGTTTATCAAATTCTGCCAAAGTCACCTAAACTGTATAATGACATTTCAATTACCAAGCATGTCTGTTCATCTCCATGGCCTAAACGTCCTCCAGGACCATGACCACAGGTATAAACCTGCCCTTTCTGAGACAGAAACACCGAGTGAAATTTACAAAGCACCACCTATAGGAAAATAAGAGAATATTATTCAACTTCTCTAAATAAAATATCCTTTATCTTATAAAAATGAAATAACAGAATATTATGACTTATTTAATCTAGATAATGGGTACATTAGGATTCATTATACTATTCCATTTCATATATTTTCAAAGTCTTCTGTAATAAAAATTTTAAATATATGGTGGTCTACCTTAAAACTATATCTAAAAATCCTCACATTGGGGAAAAAAAATTTAGAAGGAATTAAGCATGTGTTACCCAGAGAAGAGACTAAACAACGGAAAATGTAAATCTTAAGCATTCAAAAACTAATAGCCAGATATTTTCCAATTTCATAAAATACCAAACAAGAACAAAGTAAGTGAGAAATATAATGATTACCACTGTTATCAAAGAAAAATAACAGAAATGCCTTAAGAGTATTTTTTCAAAACATCGCCTACAAACAGGGAGTGAGGGGTAAACAGTATGTCCTTTTTATATCTCTGATTTTGTCTATCTTTAATATCATTGTATGGCTTTAAATAATTTTATACTTATCTTCAAGCTTTTCTCTCTTCCCCGCTTCCTTTCTTATCTGCTTCTTTCCCAGAACCCTCCTTGCTCTCTAACAAAAACACTTCCATTCTCACACATTCTTACCAGAAAGGGTATGGAAACAGCTGAACTGCATCAGCAGAATGCAGTAACAGGAAACCCAAAGCAGTTATAAACATGCTTGTATTTACATACCTCACCTGCAGGCCACACTCTGCTATTTTTCAATGCATCTAATATTCAGTGTACTTATTTTAATACTATTTAAAAACTCCTTTTTTTCCCCCTTATCTGCAATTGTATTTCTTATGCCATCCATAAATATTTCTAACTTGGGCTATTAAAAAGTCCTAGAATTATTTTCCAGAAAGTCACGATCCTTTGAAAATTAGAAAATTACAAGCTGAATTATAAGCCAAATTGTAAGCTCTATTTGCACGTAACCTTAAACGACCTGTCGAGTTCTGTAAATACATGTGCCTATCATAGGGCAAAAAGTCATTATCTTATTTAGCTGTACCACAAATATCTGAAGTTTAAAAATAAAACTCAAAATTGTATTCAAATTTGTAATAGTTAAAATTTATAAGGGAAAAATTATTTCATGAAGCCAGGAACAATACATTTTGTTCAATTCCATATTCAATACCAGAATGCCATTTTAAATTTCTGACTTCTATTAAACAACCAATACCAGAGTTTAAGACCTCCAACTTTAAAACCTCCGAATATTTTAAGGAGGTAACGGAACATGGCTTTTCATCTTAATTTTCAGGAATGTATTATGCTAATAATTATAATTTCTGTCCCATGGCAGTTAATTCATTTGGTACTATACTACAGAACCAGCCCTTTTTCAGTGACTAGTGGGGCTCCCTATATAACAGGTACTT